CACCCCGGAGCTCGGCTGGGCCCCCATCAGCACACAGGCTCTCGTGCACACACCCGCCCATCGCGCGCCCCAAAACCTGTCTGGGACCTCAGCCCATCACCCTGCTCACCCCCTTTTAACAGCACCAGGACTTCATCTGCCTCGGAGGAGCTGCTCCCGACTTTGACTGCCGAGAGCCCAAACCCAGGCCCGTTATAGTACGTTATTAACACAGATCACAAATACTAAATGCGGACCCAGGGTGCGTGGGAAGAGCCGGAGTAAGTCAGCAGCGAGTCATTCCGGTATCGCCTTTCCCATGCGCAGCTACGCGCCGTCATCGCCCTCATGTCACCGGGGTCCCTTGCAGCGACGCTCAAGGTTTGGCTCCCGCAGGCTGGGCACTTGCAAACCACTCGCCGAGGGACAGACGGACCGACCGCTACTAAATGCGGACCCAGGGTGCGTGGGAAGAGCCGGAGTAAGTCAGCAGCGAGTCATTCCGGTATCGCCTTTCCCATGCGCAGCTACGCGCCGTCATCGCCCTCATGTCACCGGGGTCCCTTGCAGCGACGCTCAAGGTTTGGCTCCCGCAGGCTGGGCACTTGCAAACCACTCGCCGAGGGACAGACGGACCGACCGCATGGCCTGTCCCGGGGCCCAGCGCCGCACGGCGAGTGGCGGCCGATGCCCGGACGGACACGCGCAGCCCGCGGCAGTGCCAGGACCCGCACCCTGCCCCGGCGCAATGCCACCTCCTGGGGCTGCTTCTCCTCTCGGTACAGCTGCAGCGTTCATGAAAGCACACGGACGCAGAACCGCGTCCACCGCCTTCGACCGCGCCCGACCTCTCCTGGCACCTCCGTGCGCACCAGGGCACCGCACTGGCACCCCCTCCCATGCCACGCAGGACGTGCGGGGAAAGAGCCGAGTTTTACATCATCTGGAGCCCCTTAAGGAAAAATTCTAACCCCCAAAGACTTGGTATCTTACTGTTGACTGCTTTAAATATGTTCCCTGTCCTATTTATCAGCCACAGCCCTGCAGGTGGGAACAGCTTTGACAGCAACGTCTCCACTCAGCATCTGCCAAGCAAAGTGACAAACTCCCGGACTCGCTGGTTATCGCTGCTGAGATCTAACCAGGTCCAGGGCAAATAACCAGGTCCCCCATAAAACTTCACGGCCTCTCGTTAATAAATTATGATCAGGCACTGAAGACAAGTGACAACGATGCCGAGGCTCGGGAGCGCTGCCAGGACCAGACGGCAGGTGCCCGGGCTGCCCCTGCCCCGCGCAAGGCTCGCGCCCGCAGTCCCGTCCCAGTGAGCTCCGCTGCACCAGCCCCCGCTGCCCGCACCCACGGGGCCGACAGGCGGTGCGGCATTCCGGCCGGGCACCGGACAAACGCAGGCTGCTGGGAGGAGAAATCGCTAATTTTCAACCATGGTCTGAATTTGCCTGCTCTGGACCAGGCTGAGACAGTGACACAGACTCATGTAACGAAGTGCCAGAACAGAAAACACTCACATTTTTAATCAAAACCAAGTGATTTGAGGTGGTAAAAGGGCATTTCTTGTTTGAAGCATTTCAAAACGAATTGTTCCATTTTAAACTGACATTTCAAAAGGAAAAATGTTTCATTCCAAAATGCTGATTTAAAATGGTATTTTCCATTTTGATTCTCCCAGCTGGAAAAAAAAATTAAAAAACCTGAGAAAATGTCACCAAAAACGTTGACATTTGCCCAGAAAAAAAAAAAAGGTATCTTGACAAAACCACAGATTTTCTACTAGACAAGAATTTAGAGGTAAGAAAACACTCCAAACCAATGCCGCAGGACAGTCGCTTGGCCAGGAGCAGAGCGAAGCGTGGCTGGACAGGGCGTGGGCAGGCAGGCATCCTGCTCTCCTTCCCAGCTCCGTCCCTGCCTGCCAGGTGACAAGGGACTGACCCTGCTCCACTCAGGTGCCCCCCGTGCTGTGGGGGCTGGGGGGCCTGCGCAGACCTGCACCGCTGCCGAGGCAGCCCCAAGCCTCCCCACGAGCCACTGCAGCACCTGAACCACCCCGAAGTGGCTTAAAGTGCGAGAAAACCTTCGCTCCTTGAAGCGGGCACGAGCTGGTGGGACCGGACTGTGCCGACTCCCTCGTGCGAAGCTGCCTTTAGGCAACCGTGGGTGCTCCGCTCCGCAGACTCTGCTCTGCCAGAGCCTTCCTCGGAGAGGGGATTGTCACACGACAGCCTGCACTGCCAGAGCCCCTCCAGGGACGCAACAGCCCATCATGTCAACGCTGATGCCAGCTTAGAACACGCACTGTTTCCTCAATGAGAAAGCGAGCAGCCCTCGCAGAGCTGCTCAGCCCTTCACGTAAACCCAGGGGCAGCGCATGCATCAGCGCCCAGCGCTGCGGCCGGCCGGGAGCGGGGCACGATGCCCTCCCATGCCTGCGTACACCCACCCCCCAGCCACGCTGGACCGGGGGAGCCGGGGAGAAGCCGTGTGGGACACGTGCCACAGCACCCATCTGTCCTGCCCCACGAAGGGGCACATCTGGCAGCCCAGATGTGAGGACAGCAGACGCGATGCTGTCATCAGCCTCTGCATTTCTTGCAGCAGCAAGCCCCCGACGCCAGTGCACATCCCCTGCTGCCTCCAGCAGAGCAGCCAGGGCCCCCCAGGAGGTCAGCCCGCACTGAGAGTCCCTGGTCTCCCGGCTGCTGCTCCAGCTCCCCCTCCACGAACGGAGGGCAGCTGAGCTCCCAGGTACAAGCACCAGAGCCCCTCCGGAGGAGCCCAGCCCCAGCTCCTGCCCGTGGGACCCTCCGGGCCATGCAAGGTCTCCAGGAGATGTCCCCGAGTCTCTCAGCTGGACCAAAAAGCAAGGCACCGCTGAGCACCTCCCATCCTGCACAGGACAGGGATGCGCTCCCAGCGCAAACTATACTTAGCTCGGGAAGGCAGAGCTGTTTGCTGCAGCCAAGGAAGCATAAATAAATCCGCGTTATCAATAATGCAGCCCGCTCTGTCCACCCCACGCTCCAAAGGGGAGGCGCCGCGCCGAGCAGCAGGCACCAAGCAGCGGGGTTTGGAGGAGCGTGAGGCCGAGAGGTGCCGTCTCCAGCAGCGGCCGTCGGAGCGATGCTCCCCCCGAGCCACGCCAGCACAGGCGCTCAGGCTCCCACTCACGCACAAACTCCCATTAGAAAACACAGCTTCGCAGAAATTGCTATTTTGACAGTTATCAACCTCCACCGTCATGAGACTCCAACTACAAATGTTTGGTCTGACTTGAAATTTTTCAGCCTGGAATGTCATTTTGAAATGAAGAGCAGTGTTCTGGCACGTCAAAGCACTTAATTTTGATTGAAAATATCAGTATTCTCTCTTCTGCTACATTCTGTTTGGAATTTTGTGGAATTTTTCATCGACCTTTGTTAGCTGGTTTCCACCCTTCGGGTCTGAGCAGGGACCTGAAGTAACTGCCCAGTGCCGAAATCTCTCTGGAGACAGATCTCAGTCGTAGCCAGCAAGGCGAGAGATGACTGTTCCTCTGCACGGGCCCATGTCCCTCCCCGTGGGCACAAGCCATCACCCACACCGGAGCCTCACCGAGGTTCCCCCAGCACACAGACACACCGGGAGCAGCTCCACGCTGCCCTCCCAGACCGCAGCCCCTCTGCCCGTCACAGGCGCTGCAGAGGCTCCTTCCTCCTCCATTAAAGCCTCACGTAGAACGGTGACGCGCCAGCCAGGGCTGCTCCGTCCGCGGCTCGGCTGGAACGCAGCCCGGCGCCCCTCGGCGCTACTGAGGGACTCTGTCCTGCCAAACCATGCCCCGAGTCCTGCCGGTCTGGAGTGTGGTTTGCAACGGCCATGTGAGCTGGATAATTATAGTGAGCAGAACTGCACCCAAAGAAGGAAGAGAGAGGTGGGGGAGGCTGGCACATCGGCTGGGTTTCTGTGCCAAGTGACACAGCCCTCCCCGCTGCAGCTCCAACACTGTCAACCTTTGTGCACCTCTGGCCCGACAGTTCTGCCCATTTTCCAAAAGCTATTTTCATACCCCTGCTGTTTCAGCACCGCTTGGAACTTGGGCACCTTTGTTCGGTGCAAGAAGAGGCACGGGCTTTGGCCCAACAGAGCACGACCCAGGGGTCCGCAGTGCTGGGCAGCCCCAACCCAGCAGGGAGGAAACCTGGCCAGAGCCCAGCAGGCACAGAAACCTCCTCGTGACAGTGGAGGTGTTACGCTGCCCGTTGGAGGGGGCAATTTCATTTTAATACTTCCCTGAAGCAAAAAGTCAGACTCCCCTAAGCAAATGCCCCACTGTGCTGGACCGGGGGACA